TAGCCAAATCCCAGACCTCTATCCACTAGATGCCGGTAGCAGCCCACCCACACAGTTGTGACAACCAAAAATATCTCCAGTTCCTACCATCAAATATTCCCTGAGGACCAAAATCACTTCTAGTTTAGGAGCACTGGTCAAAGTATAAAAGGAATACTTTCACACACATAATGCTATGTGAATGATTTTGGCGAAAAACTATATATATATATATATATATATATATATATATATATATATTAAAAGAGTAAACTATTCTCAGGAAAATGGTTTAAGAATTCATGCCCAGTTTTCTGTAATAGCATTTTCAAAGCATAATGCATATATTATGAGATATAAAAAGATAAAGTCACATATTTAGAATTACCATAGCTTTATTATTATGGCTGAAATGTTCTGTCAATTTTCTCTTCCTGTTTCCTGATAATACCTATGCCTAAAGCATCTATTTGGATGTTTTTGTTGTTTTGTTTTGTTTAACATCATGGCCATGTGAAAGTGTTTTTAAACCCTACCAGATACATGGCAGGGACTGAGAAGAAGGGAAGAGATTGGGAAAGTCATCCTACAGTTCTCTCTCATAGAGCCTGGCCCAGTGCATTCTCTTTAGACATGGTACCTCGTAAGTCTCAGCTACAATCGCAGCATTTCTTGTCATGGTTTAAGTAAGGGTTTCCTGTACATTCATCCAGTTTATGTTTAGACTTAGCTTATTTCAGAATATCAGAATTAGGGGTTTAAGATGGTGTGCTGAGTTTCTTCTTTCCAGTACATTTCCCATTCTAAATAACTCTCTGACTTGAGTGGCAGTATTGGAACTTGCTGGCAAGGATGAAATATTCTTGTGTTATGGATAGGATTAGAGCAAATAGAAAAAATCATATTAAAATTTTCCTCAAGGTTCCCTTTGTAGGTATCAGTTTAGTTGGTTGCTTTCTTTACATTTCTTCTCCCTGTTTTCCCCATAAAACTCCCTCTAAACCCTGCCTGTCAATCCAATCCTGTTGCCTTCACTTTTAATACTTCAACTGGTATATTTTACAAAGTAAACCAGCCATGCTCAGGTAAGATGCATGATTCGCTCCATTGATGGGAGAGGCTGAAACTGGGTTTCTAACAGAAGTTAAACCACCTCATGGTGAATGAGAAAGACTGTGGAGTGTTCATGGAGTAGCCATGGGTGGAATGGGGTCATTGTGAGTCCCAAATATGTCTTTTTATTCATTTATTCATGAATAAGCTCTGTCGGGAGTAAGACCTAAAGGGGATTTTTAAATGCAAACCATGCTATTTGTAGTAAAGGACTCTTTCCCTAGTTGCTAGTACTATCACATTTTTGAAAGCAAGTATTGATTAAGCTTCTGCTAAGCATTTACTAATATGTGATGTTGGCCTCTCTTTGGGTTCTTACTCATCAGCTTTCTACTGGTTCAGAACCCATCTTCTATGCTCTCACCATCTTGGCATTGGCCACCCTATACTGAAATCACTACTTATTTCCCTAAGCTCCTTTGTTTTCATTCATTCATTCATTCATTCATTCATTCATTCATATATTCATTCAACCTATGGTCCTTAAGTATCTATTACATCACAGCTCTATTCTAGGCAACAAAGCCCATGTGTCCTCAACATTATCAAAGTTGACATCCAGAGAAATAGTCAATAATTACCTTGTATTAGCTCCAATGCCATGACAAAACACCATTGTTTAGGTGGCTTTAAACAACAAAAATGAATTTTCTTATAGTTCTGTAGGCTAGAAGTTTATGATCAAGGTCTGACTGATTTGATTTCTGGTGAGGGCTCTCTTCCTGGCTGGTGGATGACTGCCTTCTCACTATGTCCTCACCCAGCTTGTTCTCCATGAGTGTTTGTGGAGAGAGAGAGCAAGTTCTCTAGTATCCCATCTTATAAGAAGACCAATCCTATCGTGATAGGGGCCCACCCTGTTGACCTCATTTAATCCTAATTTCTTCCAGAGAGGTTCCATTTCTAAATACAGACACATTGAAAGTTAGGATTTCTACATATGCATTTTGGTGTGTGTGTGTGTGTGTGTGTGTGTGTGTGTGTGTGTGTTTTAAAGATTTTATTTATTCATTCATGAAAGACACAGAGAGAGAGGCAGAGACATAGGCAGAGGCAGAAGCAGGCTCCTTGCAGGACCCCGGGATCACACCCTGAACCAAAGGCAGATGCTCAACCACTGAGCCACCCAGGTGTCCCAACATATGCATTTTGGAGGGACATGAACATTCAATCTATGACATACTTAAAGAAAATTTTAAAAATCATTATTTTAGATGGTGATAACAGTGATGAAAAAAATCACAGGAGAAGAATAGAGAGAAAATGGGGTGGAGATGATGGTTGATACTTTAAGCTACAGACCTCTCTGAGGAAAAGAAAGGTGAGTGAGGCCAAATGGAGAAAGAAGTAGCCTTAGGGAGATTTGTGGAAATAAGCATTGTAGGCAGAGAGAATTGTAAGTTAAGTGGCTCAGGACAGAAGTGAGAATGACAGAATTATGCAACAGCAGAAGGTCAGTGTGCCTGGAACCTAGCTGGCTGGTTTAGAGACGTAGGAGAAAAATACTAGAGAGGTAGGTAGTAGCCTCTTTGTGCTAGCCAACGCCAGAAATGCAGATTTTGTTTTCATGGCAGTGAAAAGCCTTTGGAAGATTTTAGGCTGATTAATGTACAGGTAAGATATGATTTAAGTGGCTCAACAGAGACACTCTAAGGAATGTTTTAAAGGCTTACCCATCTTTGGTACACATAGTAAATGATCAACATTTTTTTTTTAATGAACAGGTGGATGTTTGGCTACACAGTAATTGATTTTGCTTAGAAGTCAGGTTTATTAGATATAACCTACATAGAATATATATTCACTCCTTATAGTGTACAATTCTGTGAGTTCTGACCAGCATACAGTCATAGAATCACCAGACAAGCAAGACAGAACTGTTATATCACTTCTAAAAATTCCTTCATGCATCTTTGTAGTCAGCTCTATCCTCCAAGCTCAGCCTTTGACCTCCACTGATCTATTTCTTTATAGTATTGCATTTTTCATGTTGTGATGTAAGTGGAATTATAAAATATAGGGTCTTTTGAGTCTGACTTCTTTCATTTAGGATAATTCACCTAAGATTCGTCGTGTTGAATATATCAGTGGTTCTTTCCTTATTGCTTAGTAGTGTTCTACTGCATGGATATACCACAATTTGTTTATCAGTTCAGTGGAAGGATATTTGGTTTGTTTCCCATTTTTGTCAAGTGCAATCAATAAAGCTGCTATATAAACATTTGCTTTAAGGTTTTTGTGAAAACATGAGGTTTCTTTTGTCTTGAGTTAGTATCTACCACAGGGATTGTTGAGTTGTAAGGTATTTGTGTGTTTAACTTCGTAAGAAATTGACAAGTTTTCCAAAATGATTGTACCTTTCTGCATTTCCACCAGCAACAAATGAGAATCTCACTTTGTCTGAACCCTTGCCAGTGCTAGGATTGTCTTTTTTTTTTTTTTTGTCTTTTTCTTTTTTTGGCCATTCTAATAAGTATGCAGCCAATATCATTTTTTTTTAAACTGCAGAACTATAAACTTAGAGGTCTGGTAGATATGGACAGTAAGGATGTAATGTTTGACAGAGTAACTTTTTTAGCTGAAAAATTTAACCAAGAGTGTGGCCTTATAATCCTTGTTGAGAACTATTAGATAAAGTAAATTTAAGACTATAGTCCTCCAATCCTTGCTTGAAGACTTTTACAGGCTTTAAGATTAAAGAATTTCCTCTTTGAATCCTGGAAACCTTGAAATCCAGCACTCCTACATTCAGTGAGAGTCTTGTAAAATACTTCTTTAGAATGGTAACCCATGAGATTCTCTATTCAAACTATTAGTGACCTCTGAGGGGTGACGATGTCCCTGACCGCAAAACTCCAACCTCAGTGATGCTATTAAAAAAAAAAAAATCAAAAGTAGTAGTTAATTTTTGCTAAGAGGACAGCAAAGTGAAATAATGATTTTGTTACCCTTGATACCCATTTTCCCAATCTATCCTCACATCAGTGAAATAATCCATCAAAGGAAACTTGGCTTTTTTCCATTCTGTGGCTGTCCATTCTTACCAGTAAGACAGGAAGAAATAAACATGATTTGAAAATCTGCTGACAAATTTGGGCGTAAAGTAACTTATGAACTCGATAAGGTATAGTGTGACCAGAGATGGCTTTGTCACTGATTTAAGTACCTTGGAGCTGCCCTTTGTAAATTCTGTAGAAAGATCTCATTTGTTAATCCCTGATCTCGCCCAGTATCATTTTATAATTGCTCAACGGAAGTCCCTGAAAGACTCAAAACCTCAGTGTTTTTTATAGAGTCTACACCAGGAGTATATCACGGAGGTCCAGAATCTTCTTGATTGAATCTAGAATATATGCCTATCGCCAGATAGACACAGATCACAAATTGTCCACTTTTTTCTTTTTCAGGGAGAAAATATTTAGCTTAATTTCTGCATAAGTTCATGGACTTTTCTGCCTCTCTAGGAGCTGACCCTATTTCTTGAATAAAGAGATAAATGCAATTTGTGTACACATAACATAGGCCATCTTTGTAAAACTTGGTGCTATCATTTTGCTTTTCCCTCAAAGAGCTTTAGCATTACCTTAAAAAGAAAAGAAAGACAAACTAAAAACAATGTCCATGACTTTTCTCCCCCTGTTGGTTAAACATACTATTACACTCACCTGGCTTAAGAGATTTTGTACAGCCAATTTTATAAGATGACTTAAAGTTGTCATTTTGTTCAGAACGATTTATTTCCTTTAGTGGCATCAAATGCTATAAATTTCCTGGATGCTCCTGTTCACAGTTGGTGGAAAAACACAAGGGTGGAACTCTGCCTTTCCCAGAGGTGCTTGGTAGCATTTGATTAGCAGCCAGGCATGCAGCAGCTTCATGAATCTTCTTTTTTTGTTTTCTGTTTGCAGATTTTATTCTTCACCGTACAGTATTGCAACCAACCGCATGATTCCACAGACATCTATCACGCCATTCATTGCTGCTTCCCCTGTCTCCACATACCAGGTATGTCCGATTTACCTGCACCCGAGGAGAAGTCTTTCTTGCCATTAATAGACTATGTCAAGGCAAAAGGGACACAGTAGATTTTTTTTACCTGTCCTAAACAATTTAGTCACATCTTAAAGTAATAATACTCCAGTTTTAGCCTACACTTTGAAGGGCTTGTTTGCATCTATTTTACTGAATAATAAAGCCCACCATCTCTTCATTCTTCCTGCTGAAATTTTTATGATTATGTTCCTTTCTAGACAACATTAGTACAGCCTTCTTGCCGCTGAGAACTTAGTTTGTTGGTTGTCGGTTATTTGGGTGGCCATGTTCCCTATTGTGTCTTCTTTACAAGCACACGTCTGGCATTCCCCTCACTCACTCCAGGATATTTTATTGTTGTCATCTCATTTTGTCACAGTTGTCCTGTGTGTCCATGTGAAGCTACATGGATAGATGTTAAATCATTTTCCCCAAGAAATAGGGAGGATTCTCAAAATGGTAAAACGTTATTCCTACTTCCTGCTCTTACTTCATTCTCCACCCCAAAGAGGTCAAAAGAGACCTCATGGGTTCCACATGTTGAAAAACAAAAAAGCCAAGACTCCATGTGTGTCCTGAAGCAGATGTTGTAGCCAGTTAATTCTAAGTACACTGTGGATTAACATAGTCTTACTTCTCCCTCAAAAAATACTCCTTGTCTTATTCCTTTGAGTTATCCAATGTGCTATTACTCCCTGCTTCTCTTTACCTCATATTGTTCTTCAGACAATTCTTCTAATTCTAATTAGACAGTGCCTATAGATGCTACATATAGAGGGTGCCTAGTGTCACTTTTCAAAACTTTGGAGAGACAAAGCGAGAGAGAGTGTACGTGCGTGCATGCATGTGTTTCTCTGTATTTTGCAGATGGTGGGGGTGGATGTTTTATGATGGGTAAAACTGTAACGTCGATGACTGCTACTAATTCAGTGAAGTTTCACTTTATTCAACCATTACATACTTCATTTCAGGATGTCTCAGCTGTCAGAGCATCAAACTTGAGACTATATACATTTTTCCTTAACTGATTTCCCCTGAAGCAGATCATTTTCATTCTTTTTCTGCACTTAAGATTCTTGATACATGTTGGTGGGTGAACAGAATAGACTTTCATGTGAATTGCATTTGAGGGTCTCAGATTGGCTGATTTCTTAATTGCCATTCCTTGGGACCCATGAGGCTATGTGCAGGTGCTGTTCAGTTTTTGTGCTTTCTGCAGGCCTGCCTGGTTGTAGTGTGTGTTTTTTGGGTATTTTTTTTTTGTTTTTACTTATTTTTTAAAATCTTGGCCTATGTTTCAGCCAAGACCACCCAATGAGCCCCAGTGTAGAGCACTTTGGTGACATGAAAAAAAAATATCCACAGAAAACTGATTTCACTTGGGAGGGCTCATAAGTAGAACTTAACTCTAGCTCCTTTTTCTTAAAAAAGGAATCAGAACAATTTCCTCTGTTGTTGATTCTCGCCTTTCACCACTTTTTTTTTTTTTAATATAAAGTGCTTTGGCAATTTTGTTAGTGTGAGTGTATTGAAAGCAAAGTTTTCAGGGTTCTCAATGTGACAGTCAGCCCTTACAAGCTGACTTTCTCATTTGGCTGACAAGGCCATTTCAGAACAGTTGGTTGGCTCAAATTCTCATTTTTATTTGCCATACCAATTACCATGAGAGAAAAAAAAAACACAAATTTACTTAACTTGGGTTTAACCCAAATCTTTCCCCCCAAATTTCTGATTGATCTCTTTAGTTCTTCCCCCAAATTTTACCACTTGGACTTATTTCCAAGATGGGATCACTTGAGAATTTGAATTAGAACCAAAGACAGAAAAAGAGGAAGTCTTAGCTGTCAACTCTCGATTATTTGCTTCTATCCCTGGGAGTTGACCTCGAAGTAGGGGTCCCTGAGGCTTTTCTTCCTAAGACTCTAGCCTTCAACACCAACCTGAAATATGTTCCAAGGCCCAGCCTGGTCAATGTAGGCACTATAGCCAGTACTGGTGAAGTAGGAATTCGCTTTACATTTCACTATGTTTCAGGGACCAAATTAATCAGGTCCAAGAATTTCCTTTCTATTCCTAGTTCTGAATATTAATTAGCTGTAAAGTCAGATGGACTCCACTTTCTTTTGACCTAGTGTGACTCCACTGAACACAAGAACCAAGTTCTCTCTGTGATTGCTTTGTGCTAATAAATGCTGTTTGATGCATAGGTCCAGAGTACTTCATGGATGCCTCATCCGCCATACGTTATGCAACCAACAGTAAGTGTTCTCAGTCACCTGAGGCTAAATATTTCTATTATCCAAGTGCAAGCTTTTGTAATGCATAGAAAGGAAGCTTTTGGGGTGAAGCTTTTGTTATTTTCCATACCTCTTTCAGGCAGCCATATTTTTCAGGTGAAAAGCTGTTCCTGAAATTCTACAAAAGCATGTACAACAGATAGATGGCAGAGTTAGAGAGAGAGAGAGGTGAAAGAAAGAGTGAGATGAGAGAGAGAGAGGGATGAGACAAAGAGAGAGCAAACTTTATTGGAGGAAATAGCAGTCAACCTTCTAAGCTAATGTCTACCACTTGTCATGAATGGGGAATTTCTACTTCATTCAGGAATTCTGAACTCTGGACAATTAAATCCATTTATAGGGGAAAAGTCTTTCTGTTTTACTTCTCTTGTTATTCTCTGTTCTCTTTGGATGCAGTTTGATGGGCTTTGGGGGTAATTTTTAGTATCATGGCCTACCTTTGACTCAAAGCAAGATATTTGAAACATGAAGATAGTTGTGTACTAATAGATGAAGATATAGACAGAAAGCAAGGTTGCTAAATGCTTTTTTTGATGTTAACTAACTAGAGCCATTCTTTCTTCTTTAGTGGAAAAATCTCTTATAAAAATATTCAAACTCTATTTTCCACTTGCTATATTTCCCATTTTGTGGCACAATATTATATCAGTCCCAGGGAAAATATTACATATTTCATTAGAATCTAGGCTGAAGGCTAATGATTCCATTTGTCTTTGTCCAGGTCTTCCAGATTTTCTAGCTCTGTAGAAGTTAAGAGAGAGTAATTTCTATAGCAATATATTCATGAGAATGAGAAGTAGGGGTAGGGCACTAGACAGAAAATCATGTGACAAGGGCTGTGGTATACTCTCCTCCGCATGCTCACATCTGTGCCTTTGTTTCCTTTTCTGTCACTTTATTAACGAGACTATTGGAAAGATCAAATGATACCATATGTAAAAATAGTTTTTAAAGTATGACATGCTATGCATTATTATTGACATTACTCTCCTAGTAGAATGTATTAGTTTCACAAAGAAAAAACAATGCTACATTTTAACACATTTTAAAGCTAAATATCAATAAGCACACATTAAAGACCGGGGAACTAAATTCAGAGGCATCCGTTTCTTGGAGTCAAAGGATCATAGCACCTGGTTTTCATTTGTGAGCTTTGTCCATTTTTTAAAGAAAATAAGGAACATTACACATTGCTCTTAATGTTTTGATAGTGTGTTTTTTATTTAAAGAATAAAATGTATATAACTTAGTACAGCAGAACTTTAGCCCATATTTTGCAAATTCCTCTATTTACTCTTATTTATACACCTTGGGGGCTTCCTGAGTTCATCTGGTCTATGTTCTGTAAATCATACCAACATACAATGAATTCAGGCTACCCTTTCCAATTCAAGTCATGAGATAAAATACAATATACAATGCCAAACCAACATATAGCACAGAGTGAGCCAATACAGGGAAAGAGAAGTTTGGTCGAGTTATAAAGTAGAGAATCTCTAAAAGGAAACAGCTACCTTATAAAAATAATGTGTTCATCTACAGGGCACTAATGCTAGTTCAGTCCTCACACTGAGGTGAAGCATCATCTCACTTTGGCAAAGGGAATCCACATCCTGCAAAACCCAAATATTTTCCCAGATATCAAAATATGTAAGATTCTACTAGTACTTCTAGAACTGTGAGCAGAAGGGCAGATGTTTGTATATGTCTTTATTTCAACTGTCACTCAGGAGAGTAGCAAAATTTTTCTTCCTCTCCCCCTCCATCCTAGCATGGCTTCAGCCCTTTTTTTTTGATATATTATTTCTCATACATCTTCCTCCAGTGATAGCTCTGTGTGTGTGTGTGTGTGTGTGTGTGCGTGAATTTATCCCCTTGGATATTCCTTGCTATGTCTTCTGCTCACTGATATCTTATCACTTCCCATGACTAGACAGTGCATCATGTTTGAGTTTAGGTTACTTGGTTTAAAATACAATATTTGTGGCTGGGACGGATTCCTGGAAAAAGGAGTGCCTAGGCCACCCACCACTTTGTTGTTTTTAACATGGAATAATTGGTTAAACAGTGTCATGGAAACAGAGTTTGTGCCATCAGTCTTTTCCCCTTAACAGTTTTGCTAGTTGTCTATATTGTATAAATAACCTTACCCAACCCATATTAGTTTCATCATCAAAATGAGGTTAAATATAACTGTATGACACTAAAATACAAAAATACTTAAGCAATCTAAGGCAGATACACCAAATACCTGAATCTAAAGAGATAGGATAAATGAACAACATGATGATTAATAGGGTGAGTTGTTGGTCTCTTTGAGATAGGAAACCTTTCTCTGTTATGGAACTCTGGGCAATTAAACTTTCTGAGTCACAGTTTCCTCATCTGTAATATAGACTTACTAATGCTTAAATAATTATGTACTTTAGTTCATGAAAGGAAATAAAGTGTAAAACTCCTAAATTTTCCTGGCAGATAGCAAACACTTGGAAAATTACTATTATTATTATAGTTATATAAGGACATTGAATGTTATACTTGAGATTAGCCCAATTACATAAAATGGGAGTTGGTATGGAAGAAAGTTAAGAATAAGCAATAATCACCTATTTCTACCATGTTCATACTACTTATTTAACTTACTTTGCTAATGAGTTTTTGGAGATAGCTTCTATGGCTGTAAATCAGACAAATTTCTAGATTGCTGCTTTTTTCATTTACTTATTAAACTATTCAATACCGAAGCTAGGAAAAAAAGGCCTATCAGGTACCTTCTTGTTGTCAGTAACTGGAACCTACTTTACAAATAAATTCAAGGTATCACTATCTACATATCTCAAATATGTTTCTGATTTTCTTACAACTGTTGTCTCTCATGTTTTCTCTCCCACCACTTTGAGAAAATCTTGTGTATAAGCTCTAAGTGTAAGCATGTTTCTCTCCCATCACTGTGAATGCACACTGACTCCTACACTGGATCCAGAAGCCCTTCAGGTTCTCTTTCAGGCTTAACTCAAAGGACTCCAAGATTCTATCTTTTTTAAAAAAATATTTTATGTATTTATTCATGAGAGACACACACACACAGAGAGTGAGAGAGGCAGAGACACATGCAGGTGGAGAAGCAGACTCCCTGCAGGGAGCCTGATATGGGTCTCTAGCCCAGGACCACAGGATCATAACCTGAGCAAAAGGCAGATGCTCAGCCACTGAGCCACCCAGGTGCTCCAGGATTTCAACCAGGCTTGTATCCAAAGAGGCTTTAGGAAAGCCTTAAAGTAGAACACTGTGTCTCTGATCTTTACCTAGATGAATGGTTAAAATGGGGGGCAGGGGAGGATACAGGTAATTATAAGCAAGAGATAAATGAAATGACGCAAGAAAGAAAAGGAGTAGGCAAAGGACAAGAGAACAGAAAGAGTAAGCATAAAGTTGAAATGTGCCATTTAAGTTTGTTTCTTTAGAGATTTAATTTTCTAAGGTGTGTGTATTATTATTATTTTTTGTAGATTTAGAAAAAGATTCTGAGAGAGAGGCCTTTCACTTTTTTTTTTCTTGAAAGAGGGAGAGAGGATAGGGAGGGGCTGAGAGAGAGGGAGAGGGAGAAAGAATCTTAAGCAAGCTCCATGCCCAGCAGCCCCACACAGCACTCCGTTTCACCACCCTGAGATCATGACCTGAGCAGAAATCAAGAGTCCCATGCTTAACTGACTGAGCCACCCAGGCTCCCTGAGTCCTTTCACTCTTAATGAAGACTGGATAAAAGTCTCCTGGACTGTGTTATAACTATCATCCTGGTATTTGTGCAAGAAAACAGTTCTCTGTCAGTTAGTGGGCTCTGGGACCTTATCAAGTCTCCTGGTAAATTGTCAGACCCCACCAAGGACAGCAAAATCATTTCTGTTCACAATTTGCCGTTGTTCTCCTGAACAGATACCGAGGAAAGAGCGTTGCTAGATGAGATTAAGAACTCACGTTTTCCTGTGAGAAAGTAAAAAATGCTGACTTTGTCATGCAATCGGTTATTCGTTGCAGCTTCTCAGTGCAGACTTCTATACTATACTTTGAAATTCCCCATCACACTGACAGAATTTTAATAGATGATGGATTGCACCAAATATCTACTCTGCATAGCATCCCGTTACATCGAAATCTTATATGAATGCGCAATTGAAATTCCTGTGTTGCGATACATTGGATATTTTGTTAAATCTGTGCTGACAAGGCAAAAAGATGATAGTTCCCAAGAAGAAGCATAGTCCTATTCCTTTAAATTGCATTTAGGCTCATTTGAATCATAAATCTTCTGTTCTTCATACAGTTAGCATTATTTTATCTCAAGGAGAAAGGTCAGCTTTCATTTTTACTTAATTACAAATTGGTTATCTAATTACAGTATTCTAAGAAATGCAAGATGCCCTATTGAATCATTGGATGATTTGTTGCCATGCATAGCTAAATTATGACTTTTATGATTAAAAAACCTTAAATTTATAGTTAAAGAATAAATATAAACTCCTCCTCTACAACGCTGTTCAAGAAAGCTCCAGAACATTTGATTAGGTCATTCCTTATCATCAAACAGACAAGGCCTAAGGCTTAATTTTAGAGGTTGTAGCCTACAAATTTATAGGTGTGTTTTCTGTAAAAGCATATCACCTAATGTGGAAAGAATATTGATATCATTTGAATTCTGTTCAGAAAGCAAGGTTTTCAGATATTACCCTTTTACTCCAATGGTTTTGCTGAGCAACAATCCTAAATCTCAGTTTCATTAGCAAAGTAACGATGTCAAGATGCTTTTGCTATCAAAGGGGTTAACTTGGTAAATATATATCTGCAGGCCAAATCTTTTTTTTTTTTAACTACATAGCAAAAATAGAACAACAGTGACTCTAACCCATATATACTATTTCTACTGGAAGAGAATTCAAATGAGTGGAGCATCTTCTTTAGAGCAC